TAAATCTAGTGCTAAAGTCGCGCTCGTGTGTGTGAGACGTGGGAGGTGATGGCAGGGGGCAGTGGATATTTGTGGCGGTCAATGTGGATATTGTGGATGAGTTCTTCTGTGTCATCACGTTCTATTAATTCTACAGCTTCAGTTTCAGAACTTTCACGCTTTGTAACACATACAGCTGTTCCCTCACCACAGTGCAACAGTGAAAAGGAACCCCTTTCAAACAGCGTCGCGCTCCGAACGTTGTTTAAGCGACATACATCATAACAAAAATTCATATCATAACAAGAATAAACACCGGTATTCGGTATGGACCGGAATACCGCCCAGCTCTACTACTACTACTACTAATAATAATAATAATAAAAAGATACATGTAAAAAATGTACATATTCAGACACTACATTAATGACGTCATTTTTAGGTTTTTTTTTTCTTTCTTCTCTTTCCTTTGATTTGCTGGCATAGGGGGTTGGGGGATTGTTCTCTAAAATGTGAAAAGCTTAAAATAAAATATTCACAAAAAAAAAATCAGTTTCTACCCACAAACACTTAACACTTAATAAAGTGAGATGATCTGCTGATAAACTTGAATGACTTGTTTAATGAGTGTTTATAGTCTGAGGATCATCAATATTATCAGCTGCTGAAAATCCTCTTTATTTCATGTCAATAGATCCTGTTTTCACCTCATTCATTATGCTGATGACTTCAGATCTGTTAATTGCCACATTAAGCTCATTTTATTGCTGTGACTGTCAACAGACTTCAGCAAACAACACAATCAGCTATTGTGACATTACAAGATATAGGTAAGTATCAAATTTGTAAAATTATATTTCTGTATTTATTCTTACATTGTTTATATTTGGTGTCTTTTAATTGTGTGGGGTTTGCCACACAGTTTTTTTTTCTAGGAATTTAAATGTGAATTAAATTCTTAAAAAAGTAAAAAAGGGATGCAACTTGTGAATGAGTATAAAACACGTTGCGATTATTAATTTACTAGAAAGTTAATTTACAAGATGCATAGAGAGGTGAACATGAAGAGTTAAATAGTTGTGAATTAGTTTAAAATCATAAACTCAGTAACTGATTTATAAGCTCCTCCCACAACAATCACACCTTCAGTGAAGCTCCTCCCACAACAATAACATCTTCAGTGAAGCTCCTCCCACAACAGCTCCTCCTTCAGTGAAGCTCCTCCCACAACAATCACACCTTCAGTGAAGCTCCTCCCACAACAATAACATCTTCAGTGAAGCTCCTCCCACAACAATCACGCCTTCAGTTAAGCTCCTCCCACAACAATCACACCTTCAGTGAAGCTCCTCCCACTGCAGTTCAGCAATAAATGCTGGAATATTCCCATCAGTCTACAAGTGAAGACGAGCATCAAAGCATCAGGAAGAAGTGAAATCTGCAGAGACAGAGTTTATTGAAGGACAGAGAGAACATGAGAGATCCAGAACCCTGCAGAATGAAACACACTGAAGAACAAACAGGTTGGTGTTTATTCTTCATCCTTCATTAATGAGGCTGAAGAACAATAAGAATATAAACTTTAATCAGTTTTAATTTTGTTGCAGTAGGAAAAATTGTAAAAGCTGTACAATAATACAGTTGAAGCAGCAAATAATGAGGACACTTTTAATAAACTGGGAAAAAAATTTTTTTACAAAATTTATTTATTTTAGATAATTGTGTAGTTGGAAAGTTTCAGGGTCACTAAGGTCATGTAAAATGCATCAAAATGATTGGTAGAATATAATTGCCTACTTTCCACTGTTTCTTCAGGGTTCATTTTCAGGATTGACTGAAAATTAAACGTTTTTTTACTTTAATTTCAGAGTTGATTGAAGAAAACAAGGAGCCTGAAGAACTGAATAAAGAGGAGGAAAAACCTTCGAGTCGCTCTCAAACCAAACAGAAAGGTTTAAAGAAAATAAGAGCCAAGAAATCTTTCACCTGCACTCAGTGTGGTAAGAGTTTGAAATGCAAACAGAGTCTCATGATTCACACGAGGATCCACACTGGAGAGAAACCATTCACTTGTGATCAGTGTGAGAAGAGTTTCAGACAATCATCAAACCTTAAGAAACACCAGATGATCCACACTGGAGAGAAACCTTACATGTGTTCACACTGCGACAACAGATACAGTCGGTCAGGAGACCTGAAAAGACACGAGAGGATCCACACTGGAGAGCAACTGTTCATATGTGATCAGTGCGGGAAGCGTTTCAGACGATCATCAAACCTTAAGAAACACATGAACATCCACACTGGAGAGAAACTGTATGA